TCAGTATGTGTGTGTTTATGTCGGTCAGTAGGTCTGTGTGTGTGAGTATGACTGTGTGTGTGTCTGTCAGTAGGTCTGTGTGTGTGAGTATGACTGTGTGTGTGTCTGTCAGTAGGTCTGTGTGTGTGAGTATGACTGTGTGTTTATGTCTGTCAGTAGGTCTGTGTGTGTGAGTATGACTGTGTGTGTGTCTGTCAGTAGGTCTGTGTGTGTGAGTATGACTGTGTGTGTGTCTGTCAGTAGGTCTGTGTCTGTGTGTGTGAGTATGACTGTGTGTGTGTCTGTCAGTAGGTCTGTGTGTGTGAGTATGACTGTGTGTGTGTCTGTCAGTAGGTCTGTGTCTGTGTGTGTGAGTATGACTGTGTGTGTGTCTGTCAGTAGGTCTGTGTCTGTGTGTGTGAGTATGACTGTGTGTGTGTCTGTCAGTAGGTCTGTAGTGAGCACCGGTCATTCATTGGATGTAGTGTTGGTGTTTGCGTTACCATTTTTTTTTTCTTCGCCCAATGTACAATTTTGACCACCAGCTCATAATGATGGATTTTGGCAATATTTTGCCCAGGAGAGATGGTAAACCGTAAAAGGTACAGGGGAGGTTTATGTGCAGAAAGGAGCAGAGTGTATAAGGAACAATATGGAGATATATGTACAGAAATAATGCTTGTAATAGACACTAAAAGTAACAAGCAAAAATAAATAAAAGAAAAATGCAGATAAAGAAACATGCATTTAGTGCAGAAAGCAATGAAGAATGTATTCACTAATAGTGAACTGTAGTGAACTCTAAACAGAATTGCAAGTTTTGGGCAAAAGTAGCAGAACTGGGGGGAAAAAACAACAAAATAGCAATTTAAAAAAAAAAAAATTTCTAAAAAAAATGTTAGTAGGTAATATGAGTATTAAAAAAAAAAAATGTTTTGGGACAATCTTTACTTTAGTTTTTAGCAGGAAAAGAGAAATAAAATGGTCCATGAGAGCCATTTGTACATTGATACATGGTATGGTATGGCTTTACAGTTTGCATATTATGTCAGTATGTGTGTGTTTATGTCTGTCAGTAGGTCTGTGTGTGCGAGTATGATTGTGTGTGTGTGTCTGTCAGTAGGTCTGTGTGTGTGTCTGTCAGTAGGTCTGTGTGTGTGAGTATGACTGTGTGTGTGTGTGTGTGTCTGTCAGTAGGTCTGTTAGTATGTCTGTGTGTGTGTGTGCCTGTCAGTAGGTCTGTGTGTGTGTGTGTCTGTCAGTAGGTCCATGTGTGTCAGTATGTCTGTGTGTCAGTGTGTTTGGGTGTCAGTATGTCTGTGTGTGTGTGTGCGCCTGTCAGTAGGTCTGTGTGTGTGTCTGTCAGTAGGTCCATGTGTGTCAGTGTGTCAGTGTGTTTGGGTGTCAGTATGCCTGTGTGTGTCAGTATGTCTATGTGTGTGTGTGTGTGTGTGCCTGTCAGTAGGTGTGTGTGTGTGTCTGTCAGTATGTCTGTGTGTCAGTGTGTTTGGGTGTCAGTATGCCTGTGTGTGTGTGTGCCACTATGTCTGTCTGGGTGTGTGGTAGTATGTGTCTGTGTGTGCCAGTATGTCTGTCAGTGTATGTGTCGGTGTCCATATGTCAGTATGTATGTGTCAGTATGTCTGTCAGTTTATGTGTCTGTGTAAGTATGTCTGTCAGTTTGTATACATATAATCTGTGTGTATATGTGCATACATCTCCGCATTCACACACTAACACTACATACAAATACACCCCTGCATTCAAACTCCAACACTAGGTACAAACACATGTCTGTGTTACACACCAAAATTATATGTAAACACACCCTTGCATTCAAAAACCAACACTACACATAAATACATGCTTGCAATCACGCCAACACCACATACAAACTTATTTTACAAAAAACCTGTTTACATTCAAACACACAAAAACAGCGTTGTGCTAAATACAAACCTTCAAACATGGGTAAATGGTAGAGCCACAGCTGTCAATGCATTGCTGAAGTTGCACGACAGATGGGGAACTACCTTCTAATCACCCGTGCGATAGGGAGGCACAAAAAAATTCTTGCACCTCTCTACTTTAGGTCTGCCTCTGCGTTGGGGTGGAGGACATGATTGCACACCTGGCGAGGGTACCAGGGGGCCCAAGCAAATGCTTTGCCCAGGGTCCAATCAATATTAAAGACGGCCCTGTTTGTCAGATTACAGGATCAAAGACTCAATCCAAGTCCTCATGGATGCTAAACTCACAATATATTTATTCTTCATTTAGACAGATCTTACTACCACATTAGTAAACCAGAAGGTGAATACTAAGCATCTATTCTTTTCACGCATCTGCAGGGCCGTCTTTAATATTGATCAGACCCTGGGCAAGCTTTTGCTTGGGCCCCCTGGTCCCTGCCTCCGCCACCCCCGCCTCACTCTCTGGCATGCAATTTTGGGCCACCCTAATCGCAAGGGTGGCCAGAAGGTAGATCCTTATCTGTCATGCAATTCCAGCAATGCTTTGACAGCTGGGGCTTTACCATTTTCCCATGCATGCAGTGTCCCAGGTCCTTTAACCCTGCAACAGTAATTATTGCAGTTTTTAAGAAACTGCAATAATTACCTTTCAGGGTTAACTCCACCTCTAGTGGCTGTCTACCAAACAGCCCCTACAGGGACTTCCGAGCTGTTAGGCGACTTTTGGTCGCCTAACTGACCCTGGACATCCTCACGGTATGCATGGCAACATCCAGTGTAATCCAGAACCCCATAGAAAAGCATTGTATAATACTTTCTTATTGGGAAATCCTTATGCGAGTGCGGCCATTGCCGCGCATGTGCATTAGGTCTCCACTGCAGGGTGACTGCAGCACCATAGAGGGAGGGGGGCCTTGACAGAGGGGGGAGCTATAGTGCCAGAACAACAAGTTCGTTTTCCTGGCACTATAGTTTTCCTCTAATGTCTACCCAGTGCGTCCCTTTCTCTAAATGTCTCTTCACTGCAATTCAGAGTCTAATGAATAAACCTCTGAGGAAATGTAGTTGCATTCATGAGGGAGCGACAAAATTAATTGTTGCCTAGGGTGGCAAACTTCCTTGCACCAGCCCTGCACACTGACACACACAGGCACATACACTGACAGCCATACTGACACACAGACAGACATACTGACCCTCACACACATTCACATATACTGACATAAATACTAACACAGACTGACACACACACAGACAGACATACTGACCCTCACACACATTCACATATACTGACTGTAAAAAATGTAGATGAATGGATGTTAATGTAGACTCTTTCTTAATTTCTTCTTGTCTTCAGTTGATTGATATATATACGTCTTTTGTATATATATTCTTGGGCCAAATGCTCGCCACAATAATATATGTCTATATTATTGAAAAGTAGTAATACGCAATCTGACTTACGGTTTCTTCAGGTTTATTCTTAGTTACGGATACATAAAACATAATATAGGATGTTACAGGATAATGGACATTTAACAGCAGATGGTAATTGCTGTACTTCTGATGGGAGAGTTACATCGTTGTACAGAGCCAAGCCAAGAGTGAGACTGAGAGACCTCGTGTCCCTCTGTTACTATATAGATGTGCTAATACTAACGTCAGCATATAACTCTAGCCATATAAGGACAAGACCCCCACACCCACATTCCAGAGCTCTCGGACAAAGAAAGCCTTGTGACTTATTGATACCATCTGTTACTTATGTCAATCCACACATCCATATATATAATCAATAGAAACATAGAATATGCAATATTCTACACTGACATAAATACTAACACAGACAGATACATACACAGACAGACACACTGGCATATATGTACAGTTTACATTTTTAAACCACCCTCCAGTTTCCTGCCTTTTTCTGGAAGGTGGCTTCCCTGGGGTCCAGTGTGGTGTCTAAGGCTGATGGGAGTGAGGAGCCCCCCTCCTCACTGCCTCCTTCTCCTCCTCCCTCCTGCGCGGCTCCTTCTGCCCCCTCCCGCACAACTTCTCTCTTTATGGCAAGGGCCCTGTAGCACTGTTGAAGGGCCCCAGCGCGCTAATGGTTCCCTGCTAAAAACAAGCCCACCGGGTGGCACTAAGTGCATGGGCCACATGGTGGGCCTACTTAGTATGTGGGCCCCCGGCTGGTGGCAATGGTGGATATTTTTTTCTTGAGGGCAGTGGGGCACATGGGGCAGTTGCTTTGGGCACCCTGAACTCACTGGGCCCGGGGCAGCTGCCCCGTTTGCCCTGCGTTCAAATGTAACCCTCCTCATCTGTCCTAGAAGCTAATTATTAAATTAACTGTTATTCTAATAGCTAATTAAAATTTTGTTCTAGCTTCTACTACAGTATAGTGAGCTGGCCTGGCACAGTCTGGGCACATGATGCAAATGATGGCCTAAGACCACCCACCCTCATACAGCACTTTTGAATCAGATACTCAGGAATGTACTGGTGTACTCGGAATAATGTGGAGGATGTCTGTGCCTGGACACAAAGTGTTATGGAAGTAGTAGATGTATTTTATACTTCACTTCTCTCCACTGGAAGTACATTTAAAGATTGTGATTGAATCTTAAAGATATCATAAGGCAAAGTAGGGACTGCTTGTCTTAAAATCAAGATATATTATTGGCAAAATAGGGTAAATAACACGTCAAAACATGCAACACATTTTATATTTTTCTGCAAATTAAAACAGGGTGAAAAGGATGGACATCAAAACTCTCAGCCTAGAAGTTCTTGTTCTGAATTCTGATGCACATGACTCGTCAGACATGTCCTAATTCTGTCTCCTTCATTTGCTATTTGTCGCTTGGTGGGGGTCTGACAGCAGCTGCTCACATTTCTGGATGAACGATGCTGTCTTTCCGCTTGTGGGCTGCTCTCCGATCCAAATCTGTTTCATTATTAGATTATACAAAAGCTGCCAGAGGATTCACACTGGTGACTATGTCACACAGTCAAATACCAAATTGTCAGCTAGACAACTCAGGAAAGCAATCTATGTTGGTGGGCTACTGTCACGATCCTTTTATTGCCCATCAGAGGAATCATAGTCCAAAGGAGCTCTCAGAGGTTCATTGGGGACCTGATGCTTATGCACAGCTCCATAATAAAGCATTGAATCACGTTTTACTCGGTCAGTCCCACGGAAGCATTTCTAGTGGTTGTCAGGAAGAAAGTCACTAGAGCTGTGTTTAAATCTGAAATGTTAACATTGCAGTTTATAAAAATGGCACTGTTTTCCATTGCAGGGTTTAACCCCTTAAGGACCAGACTTCTGGAATAAAAGGGAATCATGACATGTCACACATGCCACGTGTTGTTAAGGGGTTAAAACTAAAGGACCACTACACTCAAAGCACTTCATTGAGATGAAATGGCCTGGGTGACTTTAGTGGTCCTTTAACATTATATCAAAAGCAACAATGATCAAAGGACAGGACAAGGTCAAAGGATACAGAAAGACAACAAGATGACAAAACAAGTCAAAGGTCTAGGTCGGAGTACAGAAACCAGTGGATAAACAAAGGTCAACATTCCAAGTCAAGGTGCGTTTATATGCATATACACATGAAAAAAAGTTTAATGCAAGTTAAAGGTGATTTTTTAAAATCTTTTATTCAAAGGTGTATTTCATATAAAGTGACAGTACCCTTTAATTTTGTTTATTTTTCTTATTACAGTGACATATTTTATGATTACTCATTCTTAAATGATATTTTTTTGTTGGTCTCAGAACTGCGTCATAATTCCTTGCATTCTAATATGAGGCACATTTAAAAGGGGTGCATTCATGGCTGACTCACTCTGTGTTCAGTAGATTACTCACCCAGTGAGCGGGTTACACATCTATGCTTTTTTTCCACGTTTAATTTTGCAAATGTATCAAGATGCCTTGTTGTAATTAGAAAATGTTTCATCTCGGATTGCAGAGACAGATGGAATGCTCTGCCCTACATTCGTTTAATACCCTGATCTCAAAAGGATCTTAATCCAATAGTCACATTCTACACAGACTTTAGTAATGTACACCAGAAACCAATGTTTTATCTCCTAATAATGGAAGTCAAGTTTCCAAACATGGAACGTTTTCCCCCCTTTCCTCCCCCACCTACTGATTTCTGTTTTGATAACAACATTATTTCATTATTTTTTTTTTTTAATTCTTTATTTTTCAGTGCAGAATCAATAGTACAAACATTTGTGGGTATGCCACAACAGCATCTGCAAAAAAACAATACATTGTCTGAGTATCCTGCTGCTGGGGTAAGCATGTTCTGTGCACCTTTTTTGTTACAGTGGTCTGGGTGGTTTTATGGAGGCGGTCGCCTATGTCAGTGGTGTTTATGTGGGTATGAGCTAGTGTCATATCAATAAATCTAGACTGTAGGGGTGTGGCACTGGCATCGGTGTGGTGCTGGAAAGCCTCCTGTCCCTTACGTCTATGTATAGTGCGCCGGATTAAGCGTTGGAGTTAGGGCTAGGTGCTAAGAAACCGTCTATGTGAGAGATAGCTGTTTTTGGAGCCTGGCTGTTGGAATCTTTGCAGGCCTTGGTTCATTGTGATTGGGATCTGAGACTATGTAGTGCCTGTGGGTTAGTACAGTGTAAGTGGGTGGCTGCTCCATTTTTCGTTATGCCCCTAAACCGAGGGGGATTGGGGGGGGGGGGTATGTCAGAGCCTAAGCACAGTATGAGCCAGATAAGTCCGGTTGAAAGGCTAAGTGTCTAGAGTACATTGGTTTGTCAGATTAATTGTCATAATAAAATAAAACTTGTGAAAAGCGAGAAAGAAACATGTTAAACAGACAACATGAACACTGGTGACGGTAGCATTAGATGCTCAGTTCAGGACTCAAGTCGCTGGTCCGGGTTGCGGGGAGGTTAGTCCCGCAGCACCATTGGTAAGTCCCAACGTGTTCAGCAGCACTGAGCCTTCTTCTACATTGGTGAGTTTATAGTGACGTTCTCCTTTGGTCACCCACAATGCCCGGGGAGTCGCCCATTTATATTTAAGTCCTTCCGTTTGCAAAGTGGTGGTTATTGGTTGCAGGCTCTTCCACCATAACAGTGTATCTCTGCACAAGTCCTGAAAAAAGGAGAGGTCTGCCTGCCACATTTGTTGTAAATTCCGTTGCAGACTGGCTAGCATAATCTGAATGTCCTGCTTGGTTGCTGGGACAATAGTATCCATGTTGTGGGTGTGTGGTCTGCCTAGTTCGACCGCGGTCGTACTGTGCAGGGAGTCTTCGTCCTCTAATCTCTCTTGGGAGGCTGCTGTGGCGGCTCTGGTCCATGCGGGCAGGGGGTTTTGCAGCATGCTCCCTATATCTTGGTGGGATGAGTGTGCCGTTGACACTTGCTTGTGGGACTTCCGTCCCATGTCATCCGTGAGACGGGGGTCTGCAGTGGTAAATTGCGGGCCTGCTTCCAGCCATGCCGTCAGTTCTCTGGCGAGGTTCTGGTCGCGTGTGCGGTAGGCCCTAGCTCCCTTGACGTGGCGTTTTGTGCCCGCTGGTTGGAAGACAGAAATCTGCAGATTCAGCTGGATGATTGGAGTCTGTGCCTGTAGCCCTTTTCTGTCGATCGGCCATTTATGTCCTGGTTTTGTTCGTTTTTTTGTGCCCTCTAGACGGAGCTGTGGAAGTTGGCGACTGCCTCAGTGTGCCATTGGTCCTCCCCCCCCCTATTTCATAAATTATTACTAATGAAGTTTTCAAATTTTAACCTTTAAATATAAAAGAAAGACTTTATTATAAAGTGTTTTGTTAATAAAATCATGGATAAAAAAACAAAATAGAGAGAAAGCAGATTAAAATAAAGAACTACAGGAAATAACAAGAGGAAACCCAATGCCAACAGGTCCACCTATAATCACAGCTGTGTTTTGTTCTTTATTTCAGCCAATCAGAATCCAGTTTTATATCAAATTGTGGTCACTGACTGGTATAACCATAGGCGATAAACTGGAGTCAAAATGACGGCTGATCTAAGATGCAGACTGTAGCGGATGGCACTGGGCTGTCCTGAGAATTTCATGTATTTTAATGCATTCGTGTGAAAACAGCAAAGTTCTATGTATTTAATGTATTGTATTCGTCTGAATGTTAGGTAGTTTCATTCCCTTAGTTTGTTCGAATGAAACTACCGAACAGTCAGACCTCCCCTGTGTGAAGTGTGTCTTCAATTACCCGTTGCAACATTGTTGCGAACGGGTAATTGACAAGCTAAGTAGCCGTCCTTTGTTCTCGGGGGTGGCCGCCATTCGAAAAACGAACACGTGGCGGCGGCCATTTTAAACCTCCCGAACAGCGGTGTTTTGCCGTCGAGTGTCTGGAACTCAAATCAGACACTCGACTAGGCGAAAACCGCTGAAACCTCCTCAAGCCCGGTCCATTTGGTTCCCAACTACCGAACAGCCCCTCGTTCGGTAGATAGAAAGAACCGAACGAGGGGATTCAGGCGAACCCTCCCTAGCCTCTGTAGCTAGAGGTTTTCGTGCCGTTTATTCCCTGACTCCAGGACCGACCGCAGGGCCCATTCACATGGAACCTCATTCGGCTGTTTTACCCAGCGCGGTCGGTCATTTTAATCCCTCCATAAATTTCCCGAACCCCTGGTCTGATCTGGGTGATTTTTGGATATGTTGTTCACCCAGATCAGGGCTACCAGGGGACAGGGCCGGACTGGGAAAAAAATTAGGCCTGGGCATTTTTCAATTAGAGCGGCCCCCCAAGAAGGGGGCGGGGCTAGAGAGGGTGTGTTTTGTCATCACTAATGACAAGTACACCCCCTCTGAAAGTGAGCATGTTGGTACAATGCGCAGAGCCCCGCTGAAGAGCTCTAGCATTAGAAAAAGGCCCTGTATTTGTTCTGCGCAGCGCAAGCAAATGTAATAACATGCTTGCGCTGTGTTTGCTTTTAAATTGTCTCTGGTGTCTCCACAAGTGGGATACCAGAGGACAAAAGGGCCAGGAAAGTGTATGGTGCATGTGTTTGGCGCATGCTTGTGGGATTGCCTGTGTGTAGAGTGTGGTATTGTGTAAATAGGTCAATTTTGTGGTGTAATATGTGTGGCTAGGGGCTGTAGAGAGTGTGTGTGTAGGGGCATAGTGTTATAGGGGATGTAGCGAGTGTGTGCATACGGGCAGTAGTGTGTGTGTATAGGTGACGTAGTGTGTGTCACTTATACACACACACTACTGTGTGTATAGAGGGTGTGTTTAGAGAATGTTGTATGTGTTTGCTTACAAGGAATGTAGTGTGTGTGTAGGTGGTGCAGTGTGTGTGTAAGAGATCTAGTGTGTAAAGGACCCAGAGTGTGTATAGAAGATTGTGTGTGTGTAGAGGATTAAGAGTGCATATAGGGTAAGGGATCTAGCGTGTATCTGGAGCGTAATGTGTGTAGTGGTGCAGTATGAGGGGTGCTGTAGTGTGTGTATATATAATATATTTGGACGTATTGTATGTGTGAGGTGCGCAGCGTGTTTGTGTAAGAGGAGTGCTGTGTGTGAGGGTGTTTTTATCTGCCGTCACATTCTGGGTTTCTAATTTTATTTGTCTGTTAACTCACTGAGGGTTATTTTATATAATATATATGTGCTGTATATGTGTGGGAGTGAGGGTGCTGTCTGTCTGAGGGTGTTGTGTGCGTCTGGGGGTGCTGTGTGTGTCTGTGGGGTGCGCTGTGTGTGTCTGTGGGGTGCTGTGTGTGTCTGGGTGTGCTGTGTGTTTGTCTGGGTGCTGTGTGTGTCTGGGTGCTGTGTGTGTCTGGGTGTGTCTGGAGGTGCTGTGTGTGTGTGTCTGGGGGTGCTGTGTGTGTGTCTCGGGGTGCTGTGTGTGTGTGTTGCTGTGTGTGTGTCTGGGGTGCTGTGTGTGTGTGTGTGTGTGTGTCTGGGGGTGCTGTGTGTGTGTGTGTCTGGGGGTGCTGTGTGTGTCTGGGTGGGGGCTGTGTGTGCCTGGGGGCTGTGTGTATCTGGGGGGCTGTGTGTCTGGGGGCTGTGTGTGTGTGGGGGCTGTGTGTGTCTGGGGGGTGCTGTGTGTGCGTGTCTGGGTGGGGATGTGTGTCTGGGGGGCTGTGTGTGTCTGGGGGGCTGTTAGGAAATTACTTTAAATAAATATTTATTTTATTAATAATTAAAAGTTATGCCCCTACTACTTTAGCCTGGGAGGGGGAGCCGTGTTGCCATGGGGGCTTGCTGTCATGCTTCCCAGGTGGTCCAGTGGTGAGAGTGAACTCTAGCCTGCAAGTTAAAGTTCACTCTCGCGAGATCTGAGCGTTGCCATGGTAACCGCGGCAACGCTCAGAATCCCGCGAGAGGACCGGGCGGAGCTGCTTGTTAGAGCTCCGCCGGTCCTCTCTCCTGCCTCCCTCCCTCCCCAGCCTGCGGCCGCCTGTAACTGCCTGTGGGCCGGTGCGGGAGATCTTTGATCTCCCCACCGGCCCATGGAGGCACACAGCGGGGCCGGCGCTCCTGTGATCTCCCTGCCGGCCTCGGCCCACGGCCATCGCGGCCCACCGGACATTTGCCCGGTATGCCCGATGGCCAGTCCGGACCTGCCAGGGGATGTATGATTTAAAGTGGTACCCCTAAGTTTAGGGGTACATCTAGAAACGGGGGGAATTGGTGTGCTGGATAAGGGGATTATGATGCAGGCTGAGGGGAGGAGATGTGTGGGAGGTTACCAGAGCAGGATTGGCTACTGTACTAATGAATGAAAATCCCTCCCTTGCATGGGAGCAGGCTTTAAAAGGCCACTGTCTGAATAAAGCTTTAGTTCTGCTCCTGATACTGTGTGTCGTCCAGTTATTGGGATTGCTGTTGGGATACTGCTGTTATTTTGCCTGCTGGATACTTTGCCCGATGGATTTATAATTGCTTGTTCCTGAACCTCCCTGGGATTCAAAGTGGAGATAGGCTGTGTAATACCAGCTCTCCGCTACACAGACATCCTGGAACTGATGAAGACCCAAAATCTTCAGGTTCTGTAACTTGTACACATAGACTCAGATTCTTTAAATGAGCTTGTTCAATTAATTAAATTAATTTAAATACAATTCAGTCATTTCATTCATAGATTTGCAGTTTTTTTTAAGAGATTCAACAGTTAGCACAATATTTGTGCAAATATAATGGAGGTCCTCAAGTTGTTAAAGGAAGTAAGTCACCCTTGATATGGGTGCGTGAGGTGGACCTATCGTGGGCGATAATTGAATCCAGAGATCTGTCCATTCGTTGATTAAATAATATATATTGGATAACTGATACATAAATAGACTGTCAGCTTGCTTGAGCAGGGCTTTTATCTCTTGCATCTCTGAAGTTTATTTTTGTCTATTACTTGTTGAGTAATAACCACATTGATCATTGTAAAGTGCTGTAAAATGTGTTGGCACTATATAGTAATTTTGATACTACTAAATCTTTTTTTTCTTGTTCAAATTCTTTGTATAACTTTGAGGTGCCGACAGGTTCCCTCTTTTTCTTTTTTTTTTTAATTTGTGTTTTATTGTGCTGTTTTAGACAAGTATCAGCCTACAGAATAGGAAAAAGAAATCTAGCAGTTAGTAGCACTCAGTAATACAACATAATTGTTTGGATATAGCCTGGTTAAAAAAAAATGTATTCAGCCTTGAATAAGAATTGGAAGAATAATGCCAAAGTATTCAGGTAATTGAGTCAGTAGTTAAGTTAACAAATTAAAGAAATAGGGAAGATAAGATAGTGTATTGGAAAAAAAGAAAATAGAATTAATACCAACTACCCAACGTGTTCTGGGTACCCACCCCTACTTGTCCTAGGCACACCCCGTGTATCCTTCTGACCCATTGCCCTTATCACCACTAAATCTGCAAACTTGTTAACCAGAGAAGGAGCCCATCGGGGATAAACTGACTATGTGTATAGTACATCTGCCTCCCATCCCTGTCGCTCCCTCCTGACCAGACATCCCAATGGCTGCTTTAATATCTTCCACTGTATCCAACCAGTTCTGTTTAATGGGAGCCTCCGGTTTCTTCCAGAGCACAGGTAAAAGCAGTTATACTGCATTTAAAAATTGACTTTTTATATGAGGAAATCGGAAGGGATGTGACATGGAGTGAAACGTTTTTAAATGCGTATAGTGGCAGATGTCTGAAGATTTCAGTGAAGGTGTCCCTATCATCTACCAATAAGGTTGGATAACAGGGCATTCTGATCCAATCCCTCCTCCACATCTCCAGCAGACTGGTGGAACCGATAGGAAAATCTTGTGTAAGAGCCAGCAATTTCTCAAATGGTTTGACTACATACCAGGGCACTCCTGGCACCATAACCACTGCAGAAGGACAATATTTGTTATGGTGTGTGTGGTGTTCCTTTAAATATCCATACTTAATCTTACTACTCATGTTTTAATTAATTATTTAAACAAATATAGCTGTCTATCTCTTTGTCTGCAGTCAATTCGAATTGGATGTGACATACCAGTCACCAACTGTCAGATGGCAAGTTGTGTAGAACACGATGTATCTACAACGATACAAGCTGCTTTTTCACCACTGCGATGGAAACAAGATTTTTAGCTTTGCTTCTAACAACTGCTTCTACCAATAAAGCAAAAATGTAAAATTAAACTTTAATATCACTGTATGAAGTCTAACATTTTCTTCACTTATGACAGGGCCGTAATTGAAAATTCGAGTTATCTTTTATTCAAAGTAAAAGACACTCTGGAATCATACGGAGAGATATATCAATATAACCATATACAGCACCGCTCTCTCTCTCTCATTCCTGCCTCCCCGTCGACACTCCAGGCTACCCCCGACCTGTCATTCTTGTCATTCTTAAAGCAAATATATATTCCATTTTTCGGAGTGTCTTGCAATTAATCACAGCTAATAAGAAGCACTCTATGTTTTGGGCCGTTATTAAGAAGGGTCAGAACCTTTTTTTGGATTCTGCCAGCATTACTAAATATCACAGAAAACCAATAAAATATGTGCCTTGATAGATAATCATGTCTCCTTAGACTGGAATATTAAGGCTGACAGAGAGGCGAGTGAAAAGATTGCGCTAATGTTTCATGAGAGCAACATAATGCAGAGACATTTTCATTCGATTCCAATCATGGCTTTGGGAATGAAGCTATATTCGGTCTGATCATTTGCAACCAGAACACATTTTGCATTAAAAATAGCAGGCAGTTTTTGACTAATGGTAAACAAATGACAAACCAAAACACAAGGGCATCAAAACAAATATGTTTAACATTAAACTAAAAAATTTCTCAGATATGCGAAACACTGTCGATGGCATTACCACAATAATGTCTTCTTATGCCTATCGATTCATAGTGTGAAGAGACCAATTATTTGTTACGTGTAAATGTATAGAAATATGTGAAGATCTATATGGTATTCCTTAATTCAAGTAAAATATCCAACTCTCATTTTTCGGAATGGGTCGATTCACTCTCTTGTGTTTTAGACTGACTCCATCACATCTCACGTCACGTCCCTGGTTAGACTGGATGCTAGTCCCATCCATTTGCTCGTGTTTTAGACAGATGCCATTCTATCTCTTGTGTTTTAGACTGGACCCATTTAGTTTCATTTAGGGGAAGTCCTTCAAGTTAAATAAATATGCTGAAATCCTACAATACATACTATACGTACATGTCGGGTGAATCTGTATACCTACCAAAATCTGTAGGTGTTTAATGCAGAGTTTCTTTAATGATAGGTTCATCTAGCAAGCTAAACCTATTACTATATTATTAAAGCTCTGTTGAGGGAGACTCATGGTTTTGAACATTCATTTGGTAGAGATAGTTATCATTACTGGTGCATGGTCTGACCAGCTGATAGATCCTATTTTGACTGAGAGCGTGAATGGTATGGTTACGGAATCCATAAGACAAAGATGGAATATTTTTTGTGTACATGGGAGAAGAAGGTGCAGTGTTGCTGAACATGAGGTCTCAATTGCCCTGCAATTTTGTTCTGGCAGGGGGTCGATAGTAGTGTCAAACAGGGGGTTTGGTGTGCAGTTAAAGTCACCACTAATAACTAGGTGGCCTTTTTTCATGGAGTTGATTTTGCAGAAAGCTTTCTGCAGGAAAGGGATCTTACCCTGGTTGGAGGCATACAGAGTGGTCATGGTGACTTGTTTGTTATTAAGGAGTTCCTCCATGATTAACAACCTACTGCCCTGGTCTATGTGGAGCTGGTTGACTTGAAATGCCCAGTTTTTCTTGGGTGGTAAGCATGGAACGAGGTGGGATAGAGCTTGGAGGAAAATTTTGAAGCATTCGCAATGCAAAAGTGTGTTTCAAATATACAGATGATTGCCACATTTACTTTTTTGGTGTCAGAGTACCATTCTTCTCTTGTGAGGGCTGTTGAGTCCCTTCGTGTTGATAGGGTAAATCAAGATGGTTGATGGTGTGGGAATAAGGTACTTGGTTACAATGACGTGTGGCTCTGGGTATGTGTTGGATTCAGGCACCATATGCATTACGGTGTCACCCGTCCTCCGCTTTTGATCGCCACGGTGTACGGTGCGTGGGAGGGAGATGTTGGAGGAATTAAAGAACAGGGGAGAAAACACACTACAATACAGTTAACGAATTATTAATCAATGCATAAGAGACATTAGAACATGGGCTGTTAGAAGAACTAACCATGTGTGAGCTGCTAGTATGCAAGTAGAGTAATGGTTTATCACTCACAATGTCTTGTGTGGGCTTGCAGGATAAAATGGCAATATAGTGATCTGAAAATTAAAAATGGAGCAGATAGCTGGCAATTGGCATTTATTAATGGAATCGAATTACGTATTTTGTCCCGTCCACTCATATGATTTTTCTATGTTCATTTTTTTATCCTGTGTAAAACGAACGTCTGGTAGTTGAGTAGTATAAGACCTTCTGGTGGAGGTGAGTGGTATTACTTTAACTGTTTATTGTACTTTGCTTACTATAGAATGGGACCTTTTGCCACCTTATGCAAGGATACAGTCAGTTTATTATGAACTTTATATTAAATCAGATTTTGAACCAATAATTGGTCCAAAAGTAAGCAACTAAAATCTGACAAGGAGGAACACCTGGCCTTTCATTCAACAAATTTGACTATTTTGCTCACAATGATAATAGGGACTGGATGGAAACATTAAACCTGGGCAGTAATACCATCAAAGGGTAAGGGTCCTTATTAGTTGCAAAGATAAGTTATTTATTTATTTATTTTGAATATCAATTTGTGCAAAGTTTAGTTTTTTCCTTTTTGTGATGGTTTACTGAGGTTTCTAGTTACAGGATAAAGTTCCTAAATGGTATTATATATTCAAACTTTATAGTCCTTTCTGGTGAAGAGGTCACCTGTTCCAAAGCATTCAGCATCTGGTTGTTTGTAGGGTGTAAGGTCCTGCTCTGGCTTACTCCCAAGTTGGGAGAACCTTGGGAAGAGGTGATGGCATCTTCGGAAATTGGCTACTATGTTCCATGTTTTCTGTTGTTGTTCGCCATCTTCAGGGTTGTTCACTATTGTCATGGAGCCTTTATGCCAGATAATTAGCTTGGTGGGGTACCTCAACGGTATAGAATTTGGTGATTTCTTATAAGTTTAGTTATTTCGATAAAGTCACGGCAGTGGTAGTGGAGAGGTCAGCAAAGAAAGCCATCTCATTGTGTGCTACACAGAGTTTGTCCGCTGTAGTCTCAGTACTTTTTTTGAACACCTTAATGTCTCTGTGGAGGTCCGCCGCAAAGCTGTCGTAGTCTGCTTGCAGTGTGCCCCAAACATCTTGCAGCATTTGGTGGATTTTTTTTTCAATGCAGGGTACGTTTCTGAAGTGGGGGACTGGGCTTCCACCTAGCCATCATCTTGCTCTCCTCGTGGCTTTCCTCTGATGTCCGTGGGATGCCATCTTGCTCTCCTCGTGGCTTTCCTCTTTTGGAGATTCCCGATGTGCTGTACGTTCCTTGTCCCGTCTGATGTCTGTGGGGTGTCATCTTGCTATCGGTGCAAATAGTGGATGGTATCTGGCCAGTAATCTGCACAATGGTCTCAGTAGGTTACTGTTGGTTGCTTCAGGCCTGTAATTTAAGACAAACTTGCCTCACATACCTCCTGCAAATTTTGTGTTGAAATTTGGTTTGAAATTCTGAGATTAAAAATGGCACTCAAAAGTTTGCCGAATTTTGATTCTGACAAATCAAAATCTCCAAGTCTACTATATAGTTATAATGATTTTCTCTGCTTTAAATTAAACAGTCACTAATAACTGTAAATGCTCTGATGGATGTCGTCAATGTTAGAATAAACAAAATATTCTCCCAAGCTGAAATCACTATGTGCAAAAGGATTCGTTAATTAAAGTTGGTCGAAGTTATTAGGTAATGCAATTAAAAGCACCCAGCAATCAGGGGGTTAATTTTAAATGTATGATTTCTCTTTCAGATTATCCGTTGTGTCATTTTATGCCGCAGGTTTTAATATTTTATAAAACGCAGCACCTAGGGAAGAATGGAAAGATCATCCGCTCTGCAGGACAGTTATTTGTTGAAAGCTAATGTAGCTGCAGGTAAGAATCCCTATCAGACCTGCCAGCATTTGGCATTTACCCCTCTCGTCTTCCTGACCTTTAATGAAACATATAAAGACCTTATTAGCATTATGTCTTAATATAACCGCTGGAGAGGCACATGGATGTGTAAAGATGGCATGCAATTCACGGTACATTCTGCACTGTTCTGGCTCTCAAAGAGTTAATAAAAGGCTGCATCGGCCAGTCCTTTACTATAACTATCAGACACAAATTGGAAGTCCTGTACTAGGGAATGACAGATTAACCTGATGGAATTGTGTGAGTTTCTAACAGTTCTTGTTCTCTAATGACTGTACAGGACCAGTGGGTTATACCCTTTGTCACCACTAGAGGCAGGATAACTGTACATTCCAATTTTGCCTCCCCTCCTTAGTTATCTCCATCACACTGTTACATTTGTAGATCTCCTGTGTCCAGCTTAGACCAGGTAAAGTTGGATTTATGTAAATCATGTCATTAGTTGTGTATAATATTCCAGGGAAAGAGGTCAGATGATTCGGAAGGAAACATCTCACTACAGAAAAGTTGATTTAATTAATTATAATCTGATTTAATTGTAGTTTATTTTAAACCTACATTGTTACAAAGGTTTTAAAAAAAAGATATCAGTTTCTGTAGGTATCTCAGATACTCGTGTGGGTTTTTCCAGATTAAAATCCACCTCCCCGAAAAAAAAACAACTCCCCAAAGTTCTTTCTAAAATTGGTTTTCATTCTTTTATGTAAGCATGTTTGGGCAAGGTCCTCTTTACCTGCTACTCCTGTATGCCATGTTTTGTTAGAATACAATGTTTGTTTTGTTTAACTGTTGTACAGCACTACAGAAAATGTTGGCGCTATATAAATAATTGTAATTATTAGGAGCAGTAAAGTCTGTAACAGAAGATTTAATCTCTTCCGTGTGTTGATGTTGATGAATTCCTTGGTCTATTTTAATAACTGAATATCAATCATTTATAACATTAAAAAGTCTGTTTCCAATAGTAGAATTATTGTTTGAAACATCTGTTTTTTTTTGTTTTGTTTTTTACAAAATGTAATTTATCACTCACAATGTCTTGTGTGGGCTCGCAGGAAAAAAGGGAACATGATGATCTGAAAGTTAAAAATGGAGCAAATGGCTTTCAGTTGGCATATATTAATAGAGTCGAATTACGTATTTTGTCCCGTCCACTCATATGATTTTTCTATGTTCATTTTTTATCCTGTGTAACTGTCTGGTAGTTGAGTAGAAAAAGGCATCTGGTGGGGGCGAGTGGTTTTACTTCATCTGTTTGTGCTTTGCTCACTATAGAATTGGACCTTTTACCACCCTGTACAAGGATACAGTCAGTTTATTATGATCTTTATATTAAATCAGATTTTGAACCAATAATTGACCCAATGTGTGGTAAGCAACTAACATCTGACAGGGCGGTACACCTAGCCCTTCATTTGACCAATTGGACATTGTTCCTGAGGCCACCTAATATACCTCCTGCTCATACCTTTAACCCCTATGTCCCATAACGTATTCTAGCAATACCTGGCTGGGCATTATGAGAGTTACAGTTCAATAGGAGAAGGACAGTGTACATATAAATGGACTGATGTGAGGTAAGTAGGCAGATCAGTTGTGACATTAAGTATTTCTTGGCTAATGCCAACTGCAGGCTCAGATCAGCAACTGTAAATGTATATATATTTATATATATCTATTTCAGCTTGAAAACTGCTGCTCTGCGATCACAAGAACGATGTATGTATGTCTGAACAGCCAGGCGTACCCACGGCACTTGTAGTGATATAACAATGTTTTAATCCTAATATGATTCAGTCATCCTTGATCAACTGTCGGTTCCACCTGTTCCTTTCTCAAGATGTATATATAGCTTTTATTGATCTTGAGAAGGATAATTTTTTTTGTAAATATTACATAAAACGAATAAAACTAAGCATAATTACAAAGTGTCAGACCTGGACATGCAGACATTGTAGTGATATCTCTGGACAAGCAAATTCTGTATCAAATTAAAAATTGTGCTGCTTTTAGTTTAGTGATTTTAGTAATTCCTTTTCTTTAATTGAATGGGAATAGATCACACCTTAGATTACACGTATCCACACGTTAAGCTTTTATTGCAATAGGAAGTGTCCTTTCTGATGCTATAAAAATGAAGATGATATAATTGTGTGCTTTGGCGTGAATGTGGCGATTCTGTTAGAAGGAGTTCCATCGACTTGACAATCATTGTGTGTTAATGTGACAAATCCAGCATGGCAGCAAATTCTAATGATGAAAGAGAGTCTGTATCACGCGTCCACTGCGGCAAATCTGCTGCACGCAGCCTGGAATTCTTGGGCAGAACTGCAGATCCCTCACATTTTCTTTCAAGATCGGTGCCCGTGGCTTCTATTGTTTGCTATATATAGAGAGAGCACTCGCCGAGCTGATTAATGAATAAACCAATGATTTATTCCTTATTTATCCTGCAAGCCCAGGCGAGGCGTCTTAATCTACTGAATGGTGCTCTGCAGGGTTTTATACAGCAGATGCTTTATACCGAAGGTCTTCATCTGTGACATCAATTAAGAGGATTGTCACAGCTCTCCTACAATGTTTATAATCCAGGTCACCTGCTGTATAACTTGGTTATGTGTTGTGCTCATCAACACCCTTAAAGAGACACGATATGAAGAAAGTTCTCCACTTCATTTTGTATTGTATTGTAAAGATAATCCATGAATAATTATGTTAAGGAATATATATATAAGGTATTTTTTAATTTTATTATTTTACAGTTCCTAAATTTGGAACATGGCTACAGACACCTTCCGCAGTTGGCTGGTCCTTCCCTGCCCAGTAAGGTGCAGCACCGATCTCAGTTTAGCCAAGGAGTTTGTTTTCATATCACATAAATATCCAGTAGATATCTATACAACAGTGCTCCTCATCCCTCTCCACAAGGCACACCTAACAGTCCAGGATTTAGGGATTACCTAGGTGTGTCTAAGGTGTCTAAGAAACAAAAAAATAAAAACACCTTTTGCTAAACACCTTAGACACACACGGGTAATCCCTAAATCCTGGACTGTTAGGTGTGCCTTGAGGAGAGGGTAGAGGAGCACTGCTATCAGTCTATTCACAACCTAGTTCACAGTTCTACGAACCAGACTTTGCTCAATGCTTAATGGTCTCCCTAGTCACCGATTTATCATTTTTTGCAGCTGCAGTTCAGGCTCAGATCGTGTGCGAAGGAAATTTCCTCTCTTGATATCACTGATTGCTGCACTCACATCCAGTTTGGGAAGAGAGACAGGGAGTAGAATATTCTCAGTTTATTAGAGTCTAGATTAAATGGTGGATTAATTAATTCTGGGTTAAAGTGCATTGACAACTGAGTTTGGAAAACAGTCAAGTTCATGCACATTCTTAATGTGTGCGCCTCTGTCTACATGCTGATACTATTAAACCCTAAACAGGATAATCTGAAACATCGCAAATCAGAGGAAGCAGAAAACAGTAAGTACTGGACAGTGTTCTTATCAGAAATGCTTCCGGGGACTCAAATTTCCTGGCCAGTGATACAAATCGTTACACTATATCTGGGGTTATGGATATAGACACTAGACTTGCACGGTGAAAAAAATTTGGTTCGGCAGAATGGATTCCTCGCCCCCAAAATTTTTTGTGTTAGCCTTTATTTATCCATTTAACCGTTTGGTTCAGATAAATTTCAACCAAGCAATAGTTTTGGGAAAGACAATTTGAACAATCCAAATGGGCGTAAAAATGAGCCAATCAGAATATAATGTTATATCTATATATACACTACTAGGTGCATTTTCCTCCATTTGGTTCACAGTTCAAGTCTGAAGTGACCAAAAAAAGAAAACAAAGGATGAGCATTAAAAAAAAAACAAAAAAAAACCCATTTATATATTTAATAAAAATATAATAAAATAACTATAGATTTTTTATTTTACATTTAGTCACAATCCCCTAGGCATTGATCATCTCTTTTTTTGGCGCCAAAGATGACACTCCGAATCACAAAACAAACTGAACTGTCTGTCCACTGCCCATTTGATTTGTTTCATGATTCGTCAATATAGTAATTCAGAGTTATGTAATTGGAAGATCATCCAAAACTCATTGTACCAATCTAACATAGAACAACGACATAGGGGAGAACTTTTTTATCCGTAGGAAGGGCAATGAGGGGTTCACCCTTAATTTAATAAATTAATAACAAAATGCCCTATCCAAATAGGTTTCTTATGAGGTTAAAACATACACTTTCATTTGATTGATAAAACAACATTTAATCAAAATTCTATTAAAACATATACAAATATATAATCAAAAAATGAAAAAAATAATAAGGAAAATAAGGAAAAGAAGGAAAAGAAGAAGGGAGAAACT